GTCTGACCTCCAGTCTGACCTCTAGTCTGACCTCTAGTCTGACCTCCAGTCTGACCTCTAGTCTGACCTCTAGTCTGATCTCTAGTCTGACCTCTAATCTTATCTCTAGTCTGATCTCTAGTCTGATGTCTATTCTGACCTCTATTCTGATCTCTAGTCTGACCTCTAGTCTGATCTCTAGTCTGACCTCTAATCTTATCTCTAGTCTGATCTCTAGTCTGATGTCTATTCTGACCTCTATTCTGACCTCTAGTCTGACCTCGAGTCTGATATGTGGTCCGGGTCCTGTGGTCTGACCTGCACCTTCTTCTCCAGTAAACGCAGCGCTGATGGAGGCTGTCACTGCCAGTGGTATGTCGGCGGTCCACAGTGTTACCACAGCAAGCAGTGTGATTGGGAAGCGGCGCCTGGAGGAGCGCTCTACGTTTGATAAACGTCTGAGGTTCAGCGTTCGTCAGACGGAGAGCGCCTATCGCTACCGTGACATAGTGGTAAAAAAACAAGATGGCTTTACTCACATCTTACTGTCCACTAAGAGCTCAGAGAACAACACGCTCAACCCTGAGGTAAGACCTCAACTCTTCTCCCATTCAAGATCCCAACCATACCACTCAATACACTGCACTTAGACCACACCCACAACCGCTGTCATACATTAGACCACACCCACAGCAGCTGTCATACATTAGACCACACCCATAACAACTGTCATACATTAGACCACACCCACTGTCATACATTAGACCACACCCATAACAACTGTCATACATTAGACCACACCCATAACAACTGTCATACATTAGACCACACCCACAACAACTGTCATACATTAGACCACACCCACAACAACTGTCATACATTAGTCCACACCCACTGTCATACATTAGTCCACACCCATAACAACTGTCATACATTAGACCACACCCACTGTCATACATTAGACCACACCCATAACAACTGTCATACATTAGACCACACCCACAACAACTGTTATACATTAGACCACACCCACAACAACTGTCATACATTAGACCACACCCACTGTCGTACATTAAACCACACCCACAACAGATACTAACCTGAACCCACAGTAGCAGGTACAGTCTAATGTCTAAGAGGTGTTTTAGACACAGTCTATCAATGGTAAACTTTAAATTTATGATTAATTGTAACAAAATAAACTTAAAAGGTGAAGATAAGATAATAACAGTTGTCCTGCCAATGAGCTGTTGGCTTTAAGTAACTGAGCAGTTTAGTTGGATAGAACAGTCTGAAAATAAGCTGCTTTAAAGTCTCCATCAAACAGAAACTAACTGTGACATAATGCAGCTCCTCACTAAAAACTCATCAGTGAGTAAAACTTTAAAAATATTTCTGTATTTATTACAGATGTAGTCAGTCATACACTTAGTTTATTAGTGTTTAAAAGAGGACGTGTTAAAACTGTTCAGTCAAAGTTAAACATGAAACATTAAAGTTGATTACAACTGGCCCTTCAGGGCCACTATAACGCTCATGTGGCCCTTCAGGGCCACCATAACGGTCATGTGGCCCTTCAGGGCCACTATAACGCTCATGTGGCCCTCAGTGAAAATGAGTTTGACCCCACTGACCTGAGAGGTGTTTAGGGTGCGGTCTAATGTCTGAGATGTGTTGGGTACAGTCTATTGCCTAAGAGGTGTTTAGGGTGCGGTCTAATGTCTGAGATGTGTTGGGTGCAGTCTATTGCCTAAGAGGTGTTTAGGGTGCGGTCTAATGTCTGAGATGTGTTGGGTGCAGTCTATTGCCTAAGAGGNGATCTCTAGTCTGACCTCTAGTCTGACCTCTAGTCTGATCTCTAGTCTGACCTCTAGTCTGATCTCTAGTCTGATCTCTAGTCTGATCTCTAGTCTGATGTCTATTTTGACCTCTAGTCTGATCTCTAGTCTGACCTCGAGTCTGACCTCTAATCTTATCTCTAGTCTGATCTCTAGTCTGATGTCTAGTCTGACCTCTATTCTGACCTCTAGTCTGATCTCTTATCTGATCTCTAGTCTGACCTCTAGTCTGACCTCTAGTCTGATGTCTAATCTGATCTCTAGTCTGATGTCTAGTCTGACCTCTATTCTGACCTCTAGTCTGATCTCTAATCTGACCTCTAGTCTGATCTCTAGTCTGATCTCTAGTCTGATCTCTAGTCTGACCTCTAGTCTGATCTCTAGTCTGATCTCTAGTCTGATGTCTAGTCTGACCTCTATTCTGACCTCTAGTCTGATCTCTAATCTGACCTCTAGTCTGATCTCTAGTCTGATCTCTAGTCTGAACTCTAGTCTGACCTCTAGTCTGATCTCTAGTCTGAACTCTAGTCTGAACTCTAGTCTGACCTCTAGTCTGATGTCTAATCTGACCTCTAGTCTGATCTCTAGTCTGACCTCTAGTCTGATCTCTAGTCTGACCTCTAGTCTGACCTCTAGTCTGACCTCTAGTCTGACTTTTAGTCTGATCTCTAGTCTGATCTCTAGTCTGACCTCGAGTCTGACCTCTAGTCTGATCTCTCGTCTGATCTCTCGTCTGATCTCTAGTCTGACCTTTAGTCTGATCTCTAGTCTGATCTCTAGTCTGACCTCCAGTCTGACCTCTAGTCTGACCTCTAGTCTGACCTCAAGTCTCACCTCTAGTCTCACCTCTAGTCTGACCTCTAGTTTGATATGTGGTCCGGGTTCTGTGGTCTGACCTCTAGTCTGACCTCCTGTCTCACCTCTAGTCTCACCTCTAGTCTCACCTCTAGTCTGACCTCTAGTCTGACCTCTAGTCTGACCTCTAGTCTCACCTCTAGTCTCACCTCTAGTCTCACCTCTAGTCTGACCTCTAGTCTGACCTCTAGTCTGATCTCTAGTCTGATCTCTAGTCTGAACTCTAGTCTGATCTCTAGTCTGACCTCCAGTCTGACCTCCAGTCTGACCTCCAGTCTGATCTCTAGTCTGACCTCTAGTCTGATCTCTAGTCTGAACTCTAGTCTGATCTCTAGTCTGATCTCTTGTCTGATCTCTAGTCTGATCTCTAGTCTGACCTCTAGTCTGACCTCCAGTCTGA